TGAGGTTAGTCAATGACCCATATGGTGTTACAGCCTGAGAGACTGGGGACTTGCTTGGTGTGATGGGGCTAAGTGGCTCTGTCTTATTTTCAGCTGATCTCTGTCCTACCGTAGTGATTCATTTTCTGTTGGTTGAAGTCTCAGCTATGGAGAAATACCAGCAATTAAATCATCCTGCCCCCCATTAACAACAATTGGGCAAGGAAAATCAAATCTTCCCTCAATCTTACACCCAAGGTGTCCCTTTGAATAGTCCCTGGGCGGTCTGCCCAGTTTAAGGGGTCCAAATTAGTTGTCCCAGTCAGCACCCATTTCAGGTGGAAAAGTTCAAATGTTTCTGGTAACTAGATAAGTGGGTTCTGCTCGCAGCTCAGATATAACTTGCTCCAGTGCTCCGTGAAGGCAAAAGGACCCACCCAGCTGATGGGTTAGTCTGGGAAGGTTAATACCTCCTTCCCCACCTTGCACCCAGTTGCTCATGATCCCCCAGGTCTGTGACCCTATTCACTCCAGGAGGCCACTGCTCCCAGGGTTTACAACTGCCAAAATCAGCCAGAAATCTGAGTTCAGCAGGGGGGCCTTGCATGTTTAAATTAGGCTTCTGTTCGGCTAGATTCCTCTGCAAGTCAGAGGCTGCATTCAACTCTGGGCAGCAGACAAATAGCAGTTCACACTCAGGTGTCTCAGCTGTATCACCCTGAGGGCTGTTGCTAATAGTCTCTTTACTTACCAAAGTTATCAGCCTGGAACCTCTGGTTGCCCAGAGTGATGGGGCTGGAATGGTGTCAGTTCACAGCTCAGGATGCCACTGTTGCTGTATTGGCTTCCTTTAAGCCAACTCTCTTCTCCTCATGCCTGTGCCACAGTCAACACAGAGCAGCACCAGCCCTTTCCCCCTCCACTTCTCTCAAGGAGATGCCCAAGAATCTGGAATCCATAGGTAACAAACCTCCAGACCTCAGAGTGGGTGGTTGGGGACTCCTCAGAGTTCAATGTTGCAGGTGGGGAATAGATACAGTTTTATACAGTTTTACAGTTTTATGCCTGGCAGGAGGGTGCCGTGACATGCCAACAGAGTTAGGAGGTCCAGTTTTTATGGGGTCTCTCCCGTGGGATAGAGTGGGAGGAAGTTTGAACTCTGCTCGCTTGTTTGCATGGAGTAAACTGCGAGCCCTTGTTGTGGGGGAGGTGACTCCTGTCTGCTTGGTGATGTATTTTGTACCTTTTGGTTGTGTTTTTGGGGTCACAGCTTGCTTTAGGAAGGTTGAAGTGCGCTCTTCAATCTTCTCTCTCGGCTCCCCTCCAAACCATCAGCTCCCTTGCTAAACTTCTGCCCTTTAAGCCTCCTTCTGGATGGGAGCTTCTGTAAAAAGCTGGCTGCAGTCTGCTTTCTTGGCTCCACCCCAAGAATGTGATTTATAAACGTGAACTACTTTAGTTTTTGATTCTTTTCCTTACAAACCAGCTTCCTGATCAGAGCTTCAGTTCCATAATTCTTCCACTGGTTCTCTCCGGATTTCTATATCAAATGTAAATTTATAAACCTTCCTTTCTTTTTTTCAGACAAAGTCTCACTCTTGCCCTTGGTAGAGTTTCATGTCATCATAGCTCATGGGAACCTCAAACTTTTGGGCTCAAGTGATCTTCTTGCCTCAGCTTCCTGAGTAGTGGGACTATAGGCACCTGCCACAACACCTGGCTATTTTTAGAGATGGGGTCTTTCTCTTGCTCAGGCTGGTCTCCAACTCCTGGCCTCAAGCAATCCACCCACTTCAGCCTCCCAGAATGCTAAGATTACTGGTGTGAGACACTGCACCCAGCCTTATAAACCTTCCTTTAAAAAGACAATAATGCCTTTGATTTCCCCACTACAGATTTCTCTCTTTCTTCTTCCTCCTTATCCTGAACAAATACATCCTATATCTGCATCTGCCATATATTTTTTCTCCTTCAGGAGTTCTATTATCCTACTCATCAATATAAAAATACATATTATTCAAAGCAGGGGTCCTCAAAGTTTTTAAACAGGGGAAAAAAGAGGAAAAAAGAAAAGGAACTAACAAAGGAGAATGTAAGAGAGTGACTCATGAAGTGGGAGGAAAACAAGGATAATGTGGTATCCTGGAAGCCAAATGTGTTTCTTCACTGTCCCTCAGACCATTGGAGGGCTGGACTACAGTCCCTGGGACAAGTCCGCTGCTAAGCAGGACAGGCAGAAGCGACAAAAACACTCAGCAGGGCCGGATAAATGTCCTAGGTGGGCTGCATGTGGCCTGTTAGCCATAGTTTGAGTATGCCTGATTCAAAGTGTATTTATTATCTACTTTGGGCAAGATTTTGAACTAGGTGCTGAAAATGTAGTCCTCAAGGAACTCACAAGTCAATTTGAACAAACAAGCCGTGCATTAGCAATGTAAGGCAGTATATAGGATAAAGACCAAATAACTCATATACATGTTAAAATTACTGAAATTCAGAGTATAAAGAGAACACTGAGAACTGGGATTGATTTGGGAAGTCTCTATAGTGGAGGGAAACCTCAATTTGGCCTTTGAAAAGGGTAGCAGTTTTATATGCAAGGACATTTTTAAGGGATGGAGTGGGAGAAACAAGACATGAGAAAAGGAACATGATTAGCTTGAAAAACCTTGTATTTGTTTAGAATGATGGAGGGCTTGTGTCTCCACCATTCCAGATTTTGTGCCTAATGTATTAGTTGCTTATATTGTTATGATGATGATGATGTAGGGCAGGAGTATAAGATAAAGTAGAAGAGACAGTGGTGACCAGATTGTATATATGTCTTATTCTCTAAACAATAAGAAAATGTTGATGGTAATTTATGTAAAAGTAGTGCTTTCAGAAAATAATTTGAGTTGTGCTCAGGGAGCTAAATGGGAGAAAATAGAGGCAGGACAGGATGGAAAAATATACTAGCAATGCATTCTGAAGGTGTAAAAGTCTAGACAAGGGTAGTAAGAGTGGTCTATTAAGCAAGGAAAACATTTTTTTCTTTTCTTCCACAAGTAAATAAATTACCTATTTTTAAATCACTTTACAAAATTTATTTCCTGCACACGCAAGAGATAATATGGATATTCTAGGTTCTGAACACTAAAGCAGTCAGGCAGAGAACTTCCATACATTCCCATTGCCACTTGTATTCACACACTAGGAATCACACCACATAATCTGCCTTCTCAACTGCTGTCATGGTTTCCATCACCTTTTGCCTTTAGTTTTTTGTTCTCTTACTGGGTCTTTCCCATCAGCATATAAACATTCTAATTTATCCCAAACAGAAAAACAGAAAACCTCTTGTCTCTCATCAACTACTGCTTAATTTTTTTCTTCCCTTTGTAGCTAAATTCCTCTAAAGAGGTATCTATACTTAACTATCTCCAACTTTTTGTCCTCCAATTCTCTCTTGAGCTCACTTCAGTCAGAACTTTTGCCCCACCACTCTACCAAAATTCCTTTTGTCAGGGTCACCAGTTATCTCTGTATTGTAAATTGCAGTGGTTAATTCTCAGTCCTTATTGCATTTGACTGATCAGCATCATTCAACAGAGTTGATTACTCTTTCTTCCTTGAAATACATTTGGCTTCCAGGATACCACATTATCCTTGTTTTCCTCCCACTTCATGAGTCACTCTCTTTCATTCTCCTTTGTTAGTTCCTTTTCTTTTTTCCTCTTCCATTCTCACTCTCCAGTGATGAGCTAGGGAAAGGGGATGTTGGGAGATCAAGAAGAGAGAATAAGATATAAATAAACTAATTATCTGGGAAAGCAGGAACACTAATGACTAGGGTAGTATAATTTGCTTGCCAGTAGCATTCAGATTCATTTGATCAAGTTTTAAAATAAAGCAAGTAGATATATGGATTTTCTCGGGCCACATTCAGCTGAATGGATGTAGGCACAAAAGTCAGTAGAAAATTGAAAGTAGGCCAGATTCTATGGCTCACACCTATAATCCTAGCACACTGGGAGACTGAGGCAGGAGGCTTAGGAGTTTGAGACCAGCCTGAGAAAGAGTGAGACCCTGTCTGTACTAAAAATAGAAAAAATAGCCAGATGTTATGGTGGGTGCCTGTAGTCTTAGCTACTCAGGAGGCCTATGTAGGAAGATCACTTGATCCCAGGAGTTTGAAGTTGCTATGAGCTAGGCTGACACCACAGCACTCTAACTTTGGCAAAAGAGTGAGACTCTGTCTCAAAAAAAAACAAAAATGTTGAACTTAACAAGACTTGTGGTTTTGCCAGATGAATACACTAAAGCTAAAGAGAAGCAGGAAAATCAAGGAACAAGGGAGTGTTTATACTTAGTCCCGTGGAATTTAAACTGGGTATGAAGAAGGGCATCAAGGGGATGAGAAACAGTGAATTGGTAGCATCAATGGGTTAGTAGTCTTACTGTTTTTGAATTATTGTTGGAGTCAGGTAATAGAAGGAACTGTAAAGGTAAGAGGCAGTGGACAGAAAGTGGAATATGTACACTGAGAGCTCAGGTGGGAGACTTGAGTGAGGGAGTGACGTGCCTAGGGCATGAAACTTAAGGAGCTATACCCCTTCCTAAGGTTGCACAAGTGCAAGCTTGCTACTCATATGACATTTAAAGTGAGTGCCTCCTTAAATTTTGTACCCTAGGTGCTTCACTAACCCACCTGATTTACCTTCTTCCCAGCTCTGATGGAGAGTATGGCAGAATTGCAATTATTAATAATCACAGGGTCTAGTGAGTGACTATGAATGGGAATGACTAAGGTAATTGTCAGAGTGTAATTTAAGGAACTAAGAAACTAGGGTATTAGGTGGAACATCTACCTACATATTGAAAATGCCAAAAATTAAGACAGGAGTAGTTTTTGGAGAAAATAACTGAGGAGCAGACAGGTCATCAAGAGATGAGAAGAAATGGCCTGGGAGCTAGGAGAGAGGGAAGGGAGGGGAGGGGGTAGGGTGGGTGAAGGGAGAGTGATTGGTGGGATCACGCCTATGGTTCATCCTATAAGGGTACATGTGAATCTCTCTAAATGTAGAATATAAATGTCTTAACACAATAACTAAGAAAAAGACATGAAGGCTATGTTAACCAGTTGGATGAAAGTATTTCAAATTGTATACAGAAACAGTACACTGTATCCCATGATAGTATTAATGTTCACTGCTGTGATTTAATAAAAAAAAAAAAATGGCCTGGGAGCTGATAGACAACAGCAACAATGTAAGATAGTGGGTGATATAATCTGGTGACAGGAAAGTTAAAGTTGGGGATTTTAGGAAATAGAACAGGAGAATGATATTTAAATGATAATGAAGAGCAAGAAAGACACCCACTCCATTTCTAGGCCTAGAGTAAATGAGGGCAGTGAGAACAAAAATAGCTACCACTTAAGATTTCCATTAGAGCAAGAATGTGGAGAGAATTTTCAGGAAAGAGGTTGCTCATAGAGGAGTTTGCTGATAGTGGACTGAATTTCAGAAAGCATAGTGGAAGTGTTGGAGGTTTGAGGAGAGATGGGGAAAAAGGACAAAACAGGGAATATACAGAGCCTTTTGGGCATTAAGGTGCTAGAAATGCGGGTGACCTGACAGTCTGGGGCTCTTTTGGTTACTGCTAATAAATGGGGTTAAAAAGCATGATAATGTAGGCCCTAGTGGATTCAGGGAAGTGTTGCAAAGGCTGTGAATAGGATGAAAGAGTTGTCCTTCATGAATAGGGAGGAGTGGATTTCTGAGAATGCAAAATGGACATGTTCAGATTTTTGTCTTATCTTTAATGGACAGGAATATAGATAACATTTTGTAGGTATCAACTGAGATGTAATTTACCATATTATATTTGTTCTTTTTAGAATGGACAACAAGTTGTGGCTGGAAAAACCTTGGAATATTTAGCTCAACATTCAGAAGACCCACAAGTCCTTACAGCTCTAAAGTAAGCAGTCCACATCCTATGGAAGTATAAAGATTTTCTCTGCTCATTTTACTTTTGGCCTATCCTTGGCGGAAATAGTGCTGACAAGATCAATGCCTACTGTTACAACCGTTAACTCAGATGCTCAAAGTAAAATAAATAAATAAATAAATAAATGAACCTGATATTCCTCCTTCTCTCTTTCTAGGAAGGAAAATGTTTTGTCAAAAGAGAACTTTTACATTTACATACAACAGTGAGGCAGAGGGTGAGGTTGGGACTTGATAACTGCCAATGGTGTGACTGAAAAAAATGCCACTGTGAAAAATGGGAAACTGGAGGGTTCTGGAGTGATTCCCCTTGTTAATTATACCTGAGGCCACACTTCCAAAGGGAACTGGAGTCACAGGAATAAAAGTGTCAGAAGGAGTTTTGAGATACTTGCATACCTTTAGTCAGGTAAATATCTAAAATCATTCAGGACAGATGATATTGTTTAAAGATTTTTAGGCTTTGAAACTTTACCAACTATCTTATTTTGTCAGTTTGTCATTATGCTGCTAGATCCATTCTAACAATTGTGATCCTAGGCCCGGTTCCTTTATAGAAAGAAAAATACAAAGACTGGTACACTATACTTGAAATTCTAGCAGGTGATTTGGGGCAACAATATGAACCATGGAACATTTAAAAATTTGTTACAAGCAATACTTTTGTTTAAAAATTCTTAAGATTAATCTCTCCCTTATCCTCTTTTTTCTCACTCCTTCCTCCTAGAGTAATATAGGTTGTTAATAACCTGGTATATATTCTTTTACATGTTTCTTTTTTTTTTTTTTCAGACAGGAGCCTCAAGCTGTCCCCCTGGGTAGAGTGC